GGTTCAAGCAATTCTCCTGCCTCAGCCTCCTGAGTAGCTGGGATTACAGGCGCCTGCCACCATGCCCAGCTAATTTTTTGTATTTTAGTAGCGATGGGGTTTCACCATGTTGGCCAGGCTGGTCTTGAACTCCTGACCTCAGGGAATCCGCCTGCCTTGGCCTCTGAAAGTGCTGGGATTACAGGCATGAGCCACTGCGCCCAGCCCCTCTAGTTACTATTATATGGGTTGTCACAGCCTGGGGCTGTGAAAAAGTTCATGGGCTTTGGAATCAGAGCCGTGTCGGGTTCCAGTGTTACTCCTTACCAGCTGTGCATCCTCAGCAAAGTCACTTGTGTTTCCTCACCTTTCAAGTGGGGATAATAAGGCTTTGGTGTAAGTTAATCCTGTGGATAGAACCAAGGCCACGCAGCATAGTAGGTCCTCAGTAAAGGGTCTCCAGCATGGTTTTATTCTCGATATTCCCTGTGGCCGAGGTAGGGCCGGGAGTGAGGGGTGGGGACGGGGGCCTCGGAGCAGACCCTCACAACAGGTTCTCCTGAAGGAAGAAACATCGGCCTGTGCAACGGGAAGCTGAAAGCCATGTCTGGGGAGGAGGTGGACAGCGTGGAGAAGGGCGAGCTGGCCGACCGCGTGGGGAAGGTGGGTCCCCGGAGGCAAGGCTGGCGGCAGGGCTGGGTCACAGCTCTGAAATCTGATTCTTCGCCTTCCCTGTCTCCATGTCTAGGTGTCCGTGTTCTTCAGGACCAGCCCAAAGCACAAGCTCAAAATCATCAAGGTTCGCTGGGTGAGGCGGGCACAGGCTGCGCTGCTGGGGCCGGGCCAGAGACACTGTGGCTCAAGGAGCTCATGTGTCTGTCGGGTGACAGTGCAGGGCCCAGCCGCGGCTTCCTTCTCTAGGTCCGGGGCAGCTGCCCCCGGGGTTACCTTTTCATAGCCAGGGGGAGGGGAAGAGGATGAGCAGGGGCACGCGGGCAGCTCCCTTGGAGAGGACGAGGCTCTGAAGTTGCCAGCGTCACTTGCGCTCACAGCCCCTTGGCGAGAACGCAGTCATGGGCCCAGGTTTAGCTGCAGGGGATGCTGGGAAGTGTCATTTCTAGCTGGGTGGACATGAGCCCCACTAAACCTGGGGATCCTTTTAAGGAGGAGCGGAGAACTGGGGGACCCTTGCCACATACACTGAAAACTGGGAACTGTGATTGGATAATGCAAAGGGGAAAACTACAACAGAAGCTGTCTTTTTCGTTTTTTTTTTCTTTGTAGGGGGTCAGGGTGGGGTGGGTTGGAGGCACAGAGTCTCGCTCTGTCACCTATACTGGAGTGCAGTGGCACAATCTCGGCTTGCTTCAACCTCTGCCTCCCAGGGCCAAGCGATTCTCCTGTCTCAGCCTCCCGTGTAGCTGGGATTACCGCCTGCACCACCACACCCGGCTAATTTTTGTATTTTTAATAGAGACAGGGTTTCGCCACGTTGGCCAGGCTGGTCTCAAACTCCTGACCTCAGGTGCTCCACCTACTTTGGCCTCCCAAAGTGCTGGGTGCTTTTTGGCATTATTCCTGTCATTCAACTCCGTGTCTCTGTTTCCTCATCTGTAAAATGGGGGAACTATTAATGCCGTCAGCTAATTCACAGGGTTGGTAGAAGATTAAACAAAGCCAGGCCCATGAAGCTCTTGGCACACAGCAGGTGCCCAATCAAGAGCTGATGTGATTTTTCTGACTCTGCATATGAAAGAAAGGTAGAAAACGTGCGGGTTTTCTCGCCTGTGCTCTGAAAGTTGGCCCTTGAGCTCTTTTAGTAGACGGGCTGGCTTCTTTCATGTCATTTTTAGCTCTACAGAGTAAATCCCTGTGCGAGTTACTCCTCAAAGAAGGTAGTCATACTTACCAGGTACCTCATGGTTTCCAGAGCCACACTGTTGATTACCATTTTTTTACTGGGGATGGATCACCTTTATAAGCCTTTCCTGACCATGCTGGGCACCGTCACATCCGCCGTCTCAGTTTGGGCCTCACTACAGACCTGGGAAGAAGGAACTGTTGCTTCCACTTTGCAGATGGGGAAACTGAGGTCAAGAGGGTCAAGGGCTCACCGAATTCCCAAGCTAATGTGGGTGAAGCTGGGATTGAAAGTCCACGTGCCCTCCAGACAGAGGTCTCTGTGGCTGGCCACAGGGTGTGTGTGGCCGGGCATTTCGAGCTGGTCCTCGGGCTGCAGGCCTTCATTGCCTGCTCTTTCCAAAGGCTCTGCAGGAGTCAGGGGCAGTCGTGGCCATGACTGGGGATGGGGTGAACGACGCGGTGGCCCTGAAGTCTGCAGACATCGGGATCGCCATGGGGCAGACAGGGACGGATGTCAGTAAAGAGGCCGCCAACATGATCCTGGTGGACGATGACTTCTCAGCCATCATGTAAGCTGCCCTTCTGGTAGATTTTTAGTTGCAAAAATGCCTGGGGCCACCAGCTTCTCCCTGGGACCTGCTACTGTGGAGACAGAGGGGGTCTCGCAGAGTCCCCAGGGAGAGCTGAATCTCGGGGCTGGTCAGTGTGGCAGGTGCCCCCAACCCCAAACACCAAGAGCCTCTCATAGCAGGGTCATGGGGTCCACGGCCCCTGGGGCTAGTCACATGCCGCACCCAGGGGAATGTCACGGACATGAAGCAGGGATGGGATTTGCTGCCTGTGGGTGCATTTCATGTGTTCCTGGGAATGCCCGCCGGGCTCAGGCTGGTGGGCAGCAGCTGAATCTGTAGGGAAAACCTGTGGCCGAATACATGGTCGCAGTTGAGTGTTGGGTGAGAAAGGATTACAATGAGCATCTTCAGTGTGAGGCTCACGTGTCGATAGATACATCTCATGTATTGACAAGAGACCTGGGTGCAAACACCCCCACCGCTCCCCACCGAGGTGCTCTTTAGGTTCTGGGTTTACACAAAACTCTTCGTTCCATTTCACTTTTCTGTATTTTTTCTTAATACATTTACCTTCCCTCTGGATCTGATTTTAATTAGTTCTAACTAAGACTGTCATAAGCAAATCGTAGTAGTTGGGGGTGAGGGAAAACTTTTATCAGAACATCCAAATGAACAAATATTGAGGCCAGGTGTGATCGTGCACTTTACAAGGCTGTCTCCACAATTGATTCGCCATAGGAAGCCTTAACATGCTTAGTAAAAAAAGAAAGAAAAAAAAGTCATAATATCAGCTCTATAGTTCTTTTGCAAACTTTTTAAGCAAAATCTGGCGGGGCGGGGCGCGGTGCATAGATGATTTTTCTACATGCGTGACCCCAGGTCAAGGTTTAAAAGGGCTTCCGTGAAGAGCCTTCTAAAGACAGAAGTAGGCGATGTCCTTCAGCCTCCCCATCCCTCCCTCCTTACCGTCCCCCGGACCTCATTTTTAGGCCTAACTGGTTTTGCTGCGTCTCTCTCTCCTCTTTGGTAAATTGCTGAGATGTACGGAGCACTTCGGGAGTCTGGGCAGGGATGGGATCCCTGGGCTCATCAGAAGAGTAATTGATGGTCCAATTGGAGGTATCAAGTGTACCCTTGGCACAGAAGGGCGAACATGGCTCAAGGATCAGTTCCCAGTGACCAAGGGGCACCTGTTAGAACACTACCATCTCCTACAAATGTGTCCCCAAGAATGCCAGCAAGGGAACCAGCAGAAGTCCAAGTACAGCGTCCATCTGGGCAAGTCCCCACTGCCCCTTGCAGCAACCAACGCACTGGCTGAGCCCTCCTGCAGGCCCTCTCTGTGAGTAAACTGCTCTCTTCTCTTGCAGGAATGCGGTGGAGGAAGGCAAGGGGATTTTTTACAACATCAAAAACTTTGTCCGATTCCAGCTGAGCACGTAAGTAGAGGCCGGCATTCCGAGTGTCATTAAGGGCCACGCCTGGCAGGCGGCCGCTGACTGGCTGCATGTGGCCCGCAGGAGCATCTCTGCCCTCAGTCTCATCACTCTGTCCACCGTGTTCAACCTGCCCAGCCCCCTCAACGCCATGCAGATCCTGTGGATCAACATCATCATGGATGGGCCGCCGGCGCAGAGGTAAGGCCGGGCCAGCTGGGAGCCTGTGTCTCCTTACCCCGCTGTGGAGCTGCCTGGGGCTGCTGGCTGTGCCCTAACGTTATAGGGATGAACACACACTGCCGCTTTCCATCAGGAGTTCCCAGAAAACTGAAGTGTGTTGCACTGGGGTGAGACTGGGAGTAGAAGGCAGAGGAGAAAGTACCTGGGCCGGCAGGGCTGGGCGAGGATGGAATTTTCTGCTCCCTCTGCCTGGATGCTCTCCCTGGGCAACCTGCTTTGCTCGTTCTCATTCTTCATTCCAGTCACTGCCTTCAGGAAGTCTTCCCTGATTGCACTCCCACTCAATCCCCTCACCCTGCTGTATTTTTCCCTAGAGAGGAAGATACACACACGCTTTTCCTTATGGGTCTGATTGTGATCTGTCTCCCCTTTAGAACATCAGCTTCGTGGAGGTGGAGTTTGTGTTTTACTCCTGCTGTCTAAAGCACCTTGCTACCCAGTAGGTGCTCAGGAGTCCACCCGCTCCTTAATATCCCCTTCCACAGGCCAGCCAAGTGGTGTGGGGGAAGGAATGTACTTTGGAGTCAGGGGACCCATGTGGCCACGCATGCGTAACTGTGTGAGCGCAGCGCCGACATTGCTTCCGCTGGAGCTCAGTGTTGCTGTTATTACCAGTGACAGCTGCTAAGGGAAAGAGAGTGCTCATTTGTGTCCTCAAAGCCAAGTGTGAGGGTTACCTCTCCTGCCAGCTCTCCCTGGGAGCACGAAGCTAGTCTGAGCTGCTCCCACTATGCTACCCGCTGCTGGTCTAGCCTCAACCCTGCTGTGTGGAATTGGCTGGAGGCAGGGCTCAGCTGATGAGGGGCCCTGCGGAGGGCGGAGTCTGGAGCCTGTTTCTCCAGGCTCAACGTGGGGGGTCGCCTCATAGTGATGGAGATCGCCTGGGTGTATGGAACTGTGTGTGGTTAGCCTCAGTGGGTGGTCTTCCTTCAGCCTGCGGAACAGATGGAGGGGCACAGCTGCCCGTGGACTCAGGCTCTGGGGCTTCTGGAAGGCACTGAGGAGGGCAGGTGCGATGCCGGGGGGCATTCAGCAAATGCCTGGCCCTGCCCGCTGTGCCCACTTGGTCTGGGAGGCTTATGCACGGCTGTCTTGAGGGTCCTTTATTTCATTCCTGGTTCATTTCAAAGTGTCTGTGTCTTGTTTGGAGCAGCTTGGGGGTAGAGCCCGTTGACAAAGACACCCTCAGGCAGCCACCACGGAGTGTGGGGGACACCATCCTCAGCAGAGCCCTCATCCTGAAGATCTTCATGTCCGCAGTTGTCATCATCAGCGGGACCCTCTTTATCTTCTGGAAGGAGGTGAGCGAGGGCCGCCCCCTCTTGTTCTGTAAGAGTTCTCCAAGTCCTGGGGCCGTGCAGATGCTGGGGACTGCAGTCCCTGCCCTCCTGCCCCAGCTCACGTCTGGGAGAGGCAAACATGTACACACACAGGACAATGTGGTGCCATCAGAGGGACGGGGAGCATGAGGCAAAGGGACTGGGTGACCCCTGAAGGAAGGGAGGTTGCCAGGTGTGTGCCTGGGAACTGCAGAGGCTGGCGGGGTGGGGATGACTTTGCCAAGACAGGAGTTGAAATGTACATGAGGCCCCATACATCAGGTTTCTTTCTACATGAGACAGGATGCCCCCTGTTCCCTTGTCACCAGCAAACAATTTGAAACCTGCTAAAGATCCTCCTGTGTTATGCTCTAGAGGTGACTGTTTGCTTCAGATCTGGGCCTGGGTCAACTTTTCAAGGCCTGCAGGTTCAGGGAGCTCTGGGCCAGGATGGGCAATGACCTAGGTGGGAAATGAGGCAGGTGACCCGTGTGACCACACTGCAGGTCGCACATGTGCAGGAAGGGGGAGGGACCCTAGCCAGGAACCCTGCATCCATTTTTCCTCCTGCTCTCCGTCTGCCCCAAGCAGAACAGCCTTCTTACTGTTCCCCTGCCTTCTTACCGGCCTGGGAAGGCCATGAAGGCCCCTACGCTTGTCCAGCTTGGGGTGAAAAAGATGGGCCAACCCGGTGGTCCTCCGAGTGGGGTCCCAGTAGTGGCGTCAGCACCCCTGCACCCCTAAGAATTGAGCTGCCAGGCGCTGCCTCTGTCTCCACTTTAACACATGTGCTCCAGGAGACTCAGCTGCATGCTCATGGCTTAGCCCTGTGGCGTGGTCACCGAGTGCAGGAGGGTATCCATGGCCTGCTGCCCTGGCCAGGCAGAGGAGCCTCTCCTCAGGTGGTGGGAAGTTGAGGTGAGAACTGCTGGCTGAGCGTGGTGGCTCACCCCTGTAATCCCAGCACTTTGGGAGGCTGAGGCAGGTGGATCACCTGAGGTCAGGAGTTCAAGACCAGCCTCACTAACGTAGCAAAATCCCATCTCTACTGAAAACACAAACATTACCCAGGCATGGTAGCTCACCCCGGTAATCCCAGTACTTTGGGTGGCCAAGGCGGGTAGATCACCTGAGGTCAGGAGTTCAAGACCAGCCTCACTAACATAGCAAAACCCTGTCTCTACTGAAAACACAAACATTACCCAGGCATGGTAGCTCACCCCGGTAATCCCAGTACTTTGGGTGGCCAAGGCGGGTGGATCACCTGAGGTCAGGAGTTCAGGACCAGCCTGGCCAACATGGTGAAACTCCATCACTACTGAAAATACAAAAATTAGCCAGGCACGGTTGGGTACCTGTAGTCCCACCTACTCAGGAGGCTGAGGTGGGAGAATTACTTGAACCTGGGAGGCAGAAGGTTGCAGTGAGCCGAGATCACACCACTGCACTCCAGCCTGGGTGACAGCGTGAGATTCCGTCTCAAAAAAATAACTGCCCAGGAGCTTCTAACCGTGGGCTGGTCTCACCTCAGCTCTGGCCATACCCTGCAATGTCGCCCACCCCTGAGACCCTGCAGGGCTCACAGCTGGGCAGGACTCCAGGGTTTCTCTCAGAGCTGCACTCGGTCACCTCACAGGCTCTCATCGCCTCGGGCATCAGCCATCCTTCAGCCTGCCTTGTAGGAAGTGACATTCACGCTGTGGGTTTAACTGGAGGCATCACCTCCCCGGGAGACAGTTACTTCCTGGAGGAGGTGGTGTTTCTTCTGGCTGTGGGTGCCCCGCCCCCATCCTCGTGGTGGCAGCAAACCAGCATGTGCTGGGGAGACCCTGGTGTGGCACCCACTGACCTCACACCTGGAGGAAGCTGTGACCCATTCCTATTACTGAGCTTATAAGTGGCCCCCGGCCGTGCCCCAGGAGCCGTGAGGCAGGCCTGTGCCCTTTGGTTCAGGATGAATGATATCTCGTCCCGTCTAACCTCTCGCCCGTGCGCTTGCCTTCCAGATGCCTGAAGACAGAGCGAGCACTCCCCGCACCACGACGATGACCTTCACTTCTTTTGTGTTTTTTGATCTCTTCAACGCCTTGACCTGCCGCTCTCAGGTGAGACCAGGGCTGACCCTCCTTGCTGCAGAGCTGCGGTGTGTTCTCGACAGCAATGCCCCAGCCCTGCCCACAGCATTGAGCGGCTCTGGCTCAGCGTGGGCAGCCAGAGCTCTCCTGCCTGCACCTGGGCTACGGACAGCACACAATCCCCCATGTCACTTTCTCCCCACAGACCAAGCTGATAGTTGAGATCGGCTTTCTCAGGAACCGCATGTTCCTCTACTCCATCCTCGGGTCCATCTTGGGGCAGCTGGCGGTCATTTACATCCCCCCGCTGCAGAGGGTCTTCCAGACGGAGAATCTGGGAGTGCTCGGTGAGTGGCGGGGACGGGAACGACAGGTGACCTCAGACCAGGGCCGTGGGGGGCGCGGTGCTGCCAGGCGGGGAGCTGCAGCCCAGGAGGGGCGAGCGCGGGAAAGCGGAACTCACCAGGGGCCGGCTCTCTCTTCAGGGCCTTTCTGTCCTCACAGGAAGGGACTCTAATGTAGGTGATGTGAGGGGGGCACAGAGGACACACAGAAACCTCCAGGAAGAGGCCCCTTGCTCAGGAATAGGGACTGGGGTCCAAGGGGCATCGGCATCACAGGCGTCAGGCTAGAGGCTCAGAGCACATGGAGGGAGCTGTGCAAGGCCTGGACTCAGCCTGGGATTGGGGAGCCTGGACTTGACCCTGGGGCCAGTAGTGTGACTTAGCGATCTGGTCACCTGAAGACAGGGAGCTGGTCTGTCTTCTGGTTTTGGCTGGAAGGGACATGATTTAGTCACCATGGCTTTCCAAGGACACACACCGTGGTGTGGGGCCCAGGGAACTCCTCGACATCCTCAGCCAAGTGAACGTGTCACCCTTCTCTGAAGCTGCAGTGATGGCAGGTGTGGGGGCAGGGTTGGGAGGAAGAGGGAGCCAGGGGCAAATCATCGACCCCACCCTTCTCCCCACGGTGCTGACAGTCACCCCCACCACGGAGTAGAGGACGAGGGAGGCTGGTGAGGCAGCCTTCATGGGCCCCCCCTCGCTGGCAGGGCTCAGAGTGGGTCGTGGCTCAGATCTGGAGGGGCATGGAATTATCCATCAGGCCTGAGGCTGCAGTGACAACGGTCCTATGTGCTCCAGGCAAGACTGGGATGGTCAATTCTGCCCTGTCCTCCAAAAAGCAGTGTGGGTCACCAGCAATGCCCTGCAGGAACAGACAACAGGAAGCCCCAAAACAATGTGCTCACTGGAGGTTTCTACCTGCTGGGAAGGCCGTCTTCCCACGGCTGAAGGGGTTGTGCTTGGCAGCCCGTATGTCGGCAGTCATGGCAACAGGAAGCCAGGGATCATTCCTCACTACAGCATATGACGGGAGCAGAGGAAGACGCTGGGAATTCATCCCAGGGAATGTGTCAGGGTGCACTGGACAGGGAGCCCAGACTGGTCACTCAGGACATTTGCAAGCACCAGCGTGCTGGAGCAGGTGCTGTCGGGAAAGGAAACCCATTCCCCTTCCAGCCCGAGTCCGTAACATGCCCCCAGCTGCCTGCCAGACCACCCTGTGCTCTGGAGCTGCCTGCAGCTTGCCTTGACAGATGGGCAGGGCCTTCTGGAACTGTAGCATTTTGGATCCAGGGTTGGGAAGATCTCCCTGCCTTGGGGGTAATGAAAAGGGCTGGTCCTCTGCACCTCTCACTTTATCAGGAGGACGTTAAGGGAAGGAGCTTCCTGCCGGGGCGCAGAGCTGCGTGGTGTGCTCTCTGACCCTTTTCTGTTTTCCCCTTTGGCAGATTTGCTGTTTTTAACTGGACTGGCCTCATCTGTCTTCATGTTGTCAGAGCTCCTCAAACTATACGAAAAACACTGTTGCGGCACCCAGAGAGTCCAGACGCAACATGAAGATGTGTAGTGGCCCTCACTCTGCGGCCCCTTCCCTAATCATCTCCATCTGGATGTGCCTGTGGCCCCTGTGGTGTCTCCTCTTCAGGGGAGACTTTTAGGACGGACGCTGCAGCCTTCTGTCAGTGACTCAGTTTTTCCTCCTGGGAACGCTGCAGGCATCTCGTGGGCTCCGGGGACCCAGGTCCACATCCATCCAGCACGCCCACTGGCTCTGGGACAGACAGGGAGGGGCCCGTCCAGAAACATCACACTATTTATTAAATCACAATGATTTTTATTAACCACGTCTATATATGTATCTGTGCCACAGCTTGCAGTGACGCAGGCCACTCGTGCCAGATACATGGGGCTTCTGAGAGGTAGTGGGTAGGATGGTCACACTCCGCCCATTGTCTCCCCGGAGGCCCCACTTCCTCATCATAAAATGAGGGCTTTTTAAATAAAGTGCTATACCAGGGGCTATTATTCTTTTGATGCGTTTACCTAGGGTTTTTCACACAAGGGGCCAGGTTGGAAACCCACAGCTGTGTGTTAATGGCCACATGGGGTGAGCAGCAATCCATCATGAATGGCCTATGGGAAGGCTTTTGGCGATAAAGAGCAGGGCTGCGCACGGTGGCTCACACCTGTAATCCCAGCACTTTGCAAGGCCAAGGCAGGCGGATCCCTTGAGGCCAGCCTGGCCAACACGGCAAAACCCTGTCTCTACTAAAAAAAAAAAAAAAAAAGCAGCCAGGCCTGATGATGCGCACCTGTTAATCCCAGCTACTCGGGAGGCTGAGGCACGAGCATGGCTCGAGTCCTAGAGGCAGAGATTGTACCACTGCACTGCAGCATGGGCAACAAAGCAAGATTCTCTCTCAAGAAGTGACCCTTCTCTCCGGAATCGGGAGCAGCAGTGTCCCCTGCTGCCTGCAGACGAGCTTCATTTCCCACTGCCCCACAGACTTCCAAAAACGGATCTGCTCTTCCACGTGGCAGAGGAGAGAGGGCTCCATGCTGTTCTTCTGCCTGAAGCCACGCTAGAACCACTAACGAGAACCAGAAGGGGAACTCCGTCCCCATCTCTCAGGAAATGAGGCCAGAGCTAGAATCCCCCAGTTGCTAGTCAGGCCTCACTAGAGAAACAGAACCAACAGGATGGAGAGAGATGCAGAGATTTGTTTCAAGGAACTGGTTCATAGGATTTGTGGGGCTGGCAAGTCTAACATCTTGAGGGCAGGCCCGCATCCTGGAGACCCAGGGAAGAGCTGGGGACGCAGGCTGGAGGCAGAATTTCCTCCTCCTCAAGGGAGTTCAGCCTTTTCCTCTTGTAGTCCTCAACTGATTGGACGAGGCCCACTCACATTACGAAGGATAATCTGTTTTACTTCAAGTCTGCGGACTTACATGTTAGTTACACAGTGCCATCTAGACCAGTGTTTGACAAAAATGAACCTGGCCTGGCCAAGTTGTCAGATAAAAGTAATCAATGCACCCAGCCACAGTAGCTATGAAAAGGGCTACCAGGGGTGGTAACAGCTGGGTCGGACCAAGATAAGGAAGGTATGAGTGGACCCCTGCCTGGGTTCCAGGCAGAGTCCAAAGTCCTCCATGGTAGGATTCAAAGCCTGGGAAGAAGCCCTTCTCCGACCCAACCTGTGACACCAGGGCCACAGGAGGAGATGCAGAGACGGCCATTCCTAGTGAGACGCAGACATAGGGCTGGCTGGAGAATAAACCTTTTGAGCAGTGGGGCTGTCTTTCCAGAAGCTGCCAACCCATGGAACCACTAAGAGGTCAAGGCTGAATTGTGCCACTTCCACAGTCTGCTAAGGGGTGCTTCCCCCTGAGGCAGGGATACTTCCTGCTCTACTTTTCAGGATCCTTTAGCACGTTGCTGGCCCAAGAAACTTACTTCCCATTTAAAAATAAGTGATCAAAAAACCAGGTTCGACTGATATTCGCAATAACAACAAAAATTACTCTTAACTCTTGCTTATACCATATAAAACTTTAGGGATAAAATTGTAGTAAGACACAAAATGCTAACAATAAAATATAAATTAGACTACATTAAAACTAAGACTTTCTTTTCATTAAGGACACAGTAGACTTGAACACCACCATTAAGCAACTTAGCTTGATTTACATTTGTAGAACACCCATCCACGAGTAGCACAGAAACAGTCAGCAAAATAAAGAGCAGAAATCAAACTCAAAAGCAAAAATAGAGGAAAATCAATCAAAACCTAGTTCTTTGAAAAGATCAATAAAACTATCAGTCTTGCAAGAAGCTTATCAAAAAAGGGAAGATAAATTACCAATGTCAGGAGTGAAAAAGTATATCACAAACCCTTCAAGATATTCCAACAATAATAAGAAATAATACTATGTATATCTTTATGTACCTAAATTCAACAAATTGGATGAAATAAACCAATTCCTTGAAAACCAAAAACTACTAAAACTCACTGAAGATTAAATAGACAAGCTGAAGTTGAAACGCTTCCAAAAAAAGGCAGTTTCTGAAGCCAGACGATTTCACTGGTGAATTTTACTAAACTTGTAAAGAAATGTCAATTCTATACACTGTATTCCAAAACTAAAAGGGGACTGAGCACTTCTCATCTTATGAGGCCAACAATCACTCTGATACCAAAACTAGAGAAAAATGCTAGAGACTAACATCCCTTATGAATAGATGCACGAAAATCCTCAATAAAATATGAGTAAATCAGATCTAGCCAGGTACGAAGAATGTAAGACACCATGACGAGATGGGGTTAATTGAGGAATGGGATTCAAACATTCAAAAGTTCAACATTCAAAAACCAGTATAACTCACTACATTAATAGTCTGAAGAAGGAAAAACACATGGTTATATCAATTAATGCAGAAAAGGCATTTGATAAAATTCAATCTCCATTTGTAATAAAAACTCTCAAACTAGCAATTGAAGGAAACTTCTTCAACCTGATAAAGAACAGGTACAAAAAACCTATAGCTAACATCATACTTAATGATGAAAAACTCAATTCTTTCCCCACAGGATAAGGTCCAAGGGTGACCAGCCTCACCACTCCTATTCAGCATAGTATTAGAAGTCCTAGCCAGTGTAATATGGCAAGAAAAGTCAAAAGGCATTAGAAAAGAGCCTGAAAAGGAGAAAATCACAGATAACATAATTGTCTACACAGAAAATTCCAACACATCTTTTTAAAAAAGAAAAACCCTCCTAGAATTAACGAGTTTAGTAAAGCCACACAAAAATGTATTTCTATACATTAGCAATGAACAATTGGAAACGGAAATTAAAAATTGAATACTGTTTGCCTGTCTCAAAAAAAAGTATCAATTCTCCCCAGATGGTTTTATTAGGTTTAACACAATTACTATTAAAATCCCAGGATTTTTTTTTTTTAACACAGATAAACTTGTTCTAACAAGTTTGGTACAATATTGTTATCAGCAGACCTATTTGAATGTCACTGGTTCTTACATAGTACCTGATGTTAGGCAAACCTGAGTTTAAGGGCACAGTGCTCCAAATGGCTGGCCAAGTCTGCCCAGGTCTTCTGATACTGACTGCAGGTTCAGGAGTTTCCCACAACCATCTTCAGGTGGGATAATTCGTTGATGAGGCCCACAGAGCTCACTGACACCTGCCTTGCTCACAGCCATGTCTATTACCAGGAAAACATACAGATTAGAACAGCCCCAGGGCTGCAACTGCAGAGACTGGTCACCCTCTCCCTCTTAGCTCAACAGTTTCTGAGTCCTGTGAGGCTTTCTAGCAAATCACTGGGTCTGAGGGTGGTTTCCTTCCCCACCCACAACACAAGTTCTATGCAACTGTATGACACATCAATTCATGTAACCACTGCTACAATGAGAAGGCAAAATTGTTCCATCGCCCCTGAAAAACTCCCTGTTACTACCTTTTTATAGTAACACCCTCCTAATCCCAGCAACCTCTAATCCCTTCTTCATCACTATAATGTTGTTCCCTCAATAATGTTACGTAAATGGAATCATGGTATAGAACCTTTTAAGACTGGCTTTTGTCACTAAGCATAATACCTGTAAGGTCTCTTCAAGTTGTTCTGTGTGTTTTTACATGGCTGACTAGTATTCCACTGCATGGAAGGACCACAGTTTATTTATCCACTCACTCATGGAGTGACAGAAACTCCTGCACAATTTTTGCAAGTTCTATACGAATCTAAAATTATTTCAAAATAAAGTGTATAAGAAGACATACAAACAGAGCAAAAACACACTAGGTAAAGGCAAACAACACACACGACAGAAGCGACACAGTCTAATCAGACAAGATTAAAAGAAAGGCCAAAAGCATTAAGGGAGACCAAGAAGGAAATTTAACAAGATATAATCACCACTGAAAAATCCATAGGCCAGAGTATACCAACACAACATTCAAAGTTAAAGAGGAAACAGTATGGGAAATTCAGGAAAATGATACAGAAAATTCATTAGGAGATTAACTTACCACATGAAAGGACACGAAACCTCAGAGTGATTCCAAAGAGTAAATCTAATATAGATGACTTCTTGGCTGGGCACGGTGGCTCAGACCTGTAATCCCAGAACTTTGGGAGGCCAAGGCGGTTGGATCGCTTGAGGTAAGGAGTTTGAGACCAGCCTGGGCAACATAGCGAAACCCCATCTCTACTAAAAATACAAACATTAGCTGGGCATGGTGGCAGGCACCT